CGACGAAGACGACGACGACCGACGACGACGGACGACGACGACCACGGACGACGACGACGGACGACGACGACGACGACGACGACGACGACGACGACGACGACGACGACGGACGACGACGACGACGACGAGACGACGACGACGACGACGAACGACGACGACGACGACGACGACGACGGACGACGACGACGACGACGACGACGACGACGACGACTACTACTACTACTACTACTACTACTAGTAGTAGTAGTAGTAGTAGTAGTCGTACTAGTAGTTGTAGTAGTAGTAGTAGTAGTAGTAGTAGTAGTAGTAGTAGTAGTAGTAGTAGTAGTAGTAGTCGTAGTAGTAGTAGTAGTAGTAGTAGTAGTAGTAGTAGTAGCAGTAGTGCTTAGTGCAGGAGGAGGAGGAGCTTGATAGGCAGGAGGAGGAGCAGGATGATGAGTATGAAGATGAAGATGAAGATGAAGATGATGCTGATGATGATGATGATGATGATGATGGTGATGGTGATGGTGATGGTGATGGTGATGGTGATGGTGATGGTGATGGTGATGGTGATGGTGATGATGATGATGATGATGATGATGATGATGATGATGATGATGATGATGATGATGATGATGATGATGATGATGATGATATGGTACTGCTGATGATGATGATGAGGCTGATGATGATGATGATGGTGATGATTATGATGCTGCTGCTGCTGATGCTGCTGCTGATGATGATGATGATGATGATGATGATGATGATGATAATCAGGTGGGTCAACAGGGGGAGCAGGGAGAGGATGGGCAGGCAGGAGCAGGCGGAGGAGGAGTAGGGGGAGGTGGAGGAGGAGGAGCAGGAGGAGGAGGAGAAGGAGGAGGGGACTGAGCAGGACGAGGAGGAGGAGGAGGAGGAGAGGCGCTCGCGGCTCCGTAGCTCATTTGAGCTCCGTCTCACAAGTCCTGAAGCCTTACCTTATACATTTATGACCTGATACCTACACAGGTCCAGGCGGGCGCCCCGTCGGCCGGCTGGGCTGGGCTGGTTTGCGCCTTCCTTCGCTTCGTGTTTTTCTCTGTCGTCGTAGTCGTCGTCGCAGTCTTTGCCATCGTCTCAGTCTTCGTCTTTGTGATTGTCGTCATCATCTTCGCTGTCGTCGCTGCCGCCGACGCCGCCGCCGCCGCCGCCGCCGCCGCCGTCGTCGTCGCCGTCGTCGTCGTCGTCGTCGTCGTCGTCGTCGTCGTCGTCGTCTTGGGCCCAGACTGGCATTCGCTGTCAAACAGCCAGGAGGTCTGGGATTCAGACTTGTCGTACTGGCTGAGTGAGTGCCTTGGCGGCCAACACCAGTGGCAGTTACTGCAATTTCGTTGCGCCAGTCTTCGCATCTGTTTTTTTCAAGGCGGATGCCGCGCCCAGTGGAAGCAGCGCGTATAGAGATAGTCGTCGCCGTCGTCGTCCTCGCCCTGGCTGGTTTCCCCTCTCGCTCCCCGCGGCCCTGGGGTAGCAACGCCAGCTGGCCGGCGATTGTGATGGGAGCGACCTGTGCACTCCTGGTCCTCCTCCTCCTCCGCTCGTGCTCCCTCGTCCACACCCCTCCTCATCGTCTCCCTGCCCCCCTTCCCCCTTCCCACCCCTCTCCTGCCCGCCCACCGTCCCGCCCCGCCCGGCACAGCCGCGTCCTGCCCTGTCCGCCCCCCTCCAGCAGCCTGGCTTTCGTGCCTCGCTCCCTCTGGTCCCGTGGCTCCCACCTGCCCCGCAGGCCCCACAGGCCACCTTTGCTGCTATTCGTGTGCCTTGCCGGGGTACTGGAATTTCAGGTCGGCCACGACGCGCGTCCGCGGATAGAGGCAAGCCAGCGCAATGGGAAGGGATGGGAGGGAGGCACAGGATAGCAGGTGTGGCGCGAGCGCACCTTTCTTGCATTCTCTCCCTCTCTCCCTCTCCCTCTCTCTCTCTCTCGCGCCTCGGCCCGAGCCTCCCCCCCTGCCCCAGAGTGCGAGTGCGGCCGCCAGATGCCCCCCTCCCCCTCCCCCGGGGCTGCCTTCCAGACCCCCTTGGGAAGGCCAGCTTCGCTCTCCTGGGCGAGCCTGGGCGGTTCCTTTCTTCCAACCTTCCGCGGACGGCTTGTATGCACCGCACCGCGCTGGCGTCTCCCCCGAGGCACCGACGCCGACGACGACGACGATGACAACGACGACGACGATGACGACGCCGACGACGACGATAACGACGACACCGACGAAGACGACGACGTCAACGACGCCGCCGACGACGACGACGACGACGACGGCGGCGACGACGACGACGCCGACGTCGACGACGACGAAGACGACAACGACGCCGACGACGACGACGAAGACGACGACGACGTCGCCAACGAAGACAACGAGGAAGGAGGGAGGACGACGACGGCGACAACGACGACAACGACGAGGGAGGAGGGAGGACGGCGACGACGCGAACGACGAAGAAGGAGGAAGGACGGCGATGCCGACGACGGCATCGACGAGGGAGGAGAGAAAACGACGACGACGACGACAACGACGACGACGACGACGACGGCGACGAAATAGGAGGGACGACGACGAGACGCTGACGACGGACGACGACGACGACGAGGGAGGAGGAGGAAGGACGACCACGGCGACAACGACGACGGAAACGACCACGACGCCAAAGAAGACGACGACGACGAACACGAGGAAAGACAGAGGACGACGTAGGCGACGACGACGACGACAACGACGCGGGAGGAGGGAGGACGGCGACGACGACGACGACGACGCAAGAGCGCGCGCGCACGCTATTGTTGAAAATCCGTGTTGCGAAACCTTGGGTTTTTTTGTAGGTTTTTTGGACGCACGATGTTGAAATCCTTCCGAAACCGATGGGTTTTGAAGGTTCTTGGCGTACGCGCGCGACGACGCGCGCGTCTGCACTTCGTCCCATTTTTTGCAAGGGAATTCTCGCGACGGCACACGCGCAAGGGCGTTCGACAGATTTCGACATGAGCGCGCGCGAAGCCCGTTTGGTAGTAGTTTGTGAAAATATTGAAAAACCTATGGTTTTCTTAAGATTTCGCAAGAGCTCGCGCGGAAGCTTTTTTAGCAAATGAGTGTTGCGAAACCCTGTGTTTTTGTATGTTTTTTGAAAACTCGATTGCGAAATCCTTCCGGCACCGAAGGTTTTTGAAGGATGTCGGCATGCGCGCGCGACGACGCGCGCGTGTGCACTTCGTGTCGTTTTTTGCAAGGGATTCGTGGAAAGCTGCTATGTTAGAACAAAACATGTCACCGCAGAGTGTTTTCTACAAGGGAACCTCAGGGGTGGGATGGTATGATTTCGTATTTAGGATAGACGAGTGTATATATATTCTCATACGCACCTCTCCGAGGGAGTAGAGCTCAGAGGCGATTAATGCGTCCGTCGTTCGCGATTTTTCTGGCCGTTTCGCTCGGGACATCCTCGAAATTCTGAAATTCGGTGGCACCCCTCACGCAGATCGTGACGTCAGGGTCCAAAAACACATAGGATTTCCAACATTTTACCATAAAACCTTCAAAGACACATGGTAATTTCAATGATTTTGACTCCGATTCTCAGAGAATGGCGGTTTCGCCTGAGACATCCTCCCAAAATCGAGCCCCAGACCCCTCCTCGGAGCCTCCTGGGGGCCTCCTGGAACCTCCTGGGGCCTCCTGGGGCTTTCTGGACCTTCTGGTACCCCAGACCCCGCCTCGGAGCCTCCTGGAGTTCTCCTGGGCCTGCTGAGGCCGCCTGGGGCCTCCTGGGGCCTCCTGGGGCTTCAGAACTACATGCACACACAGAGACACAAATCACGCCCAACACATCACACGCTAGACAAACATAACATACACACACACAACACCGACAACACGCAAAAAGCACGCACCACACAAAGCACACATCACACACACACAACACTCACAATCCTGGGGCCTCCTGGAGCCTCTTCTGGTATCCAAGTCGGGCCTCCTGAGGCTTCCTGGGGGGCCCTGGTACACACATCGCAAGGTGTGGCAACCCCACTTGCGCTCGAGTGCGACTTCGCTGTTGCATGTCACTCCTGCTTCAAACGCCCCTTCAGCTTGTTGTATGAGCCTGGGCACACACGTGCCACTTGTATATATATATATATATATATATGAAATTATACTATCCCAGGGGGGAGCGTTAAGTCCGGGGCGGGGGGTAGAGTCTATTCTCTTTTTAGAAAGGAGAATTGATGTTGTAAAGGAACTGACAAGCCCCATGCTCTTGCAAACATCCCACCCACCCGCCCGCAACGTGATTTGCAAATCCCACGCGGTGGCGATTGCGATGAATGCTTGGCGTTGGCTGGTGCATCCCTGCGGCCGCGCTGACCCGCGCACGCTCGCACGCACAGCGGCCGGCTAAATTGGCGCGACCGACGCGGACGCGGTGGCGCTGACCGCTGGGCACTTCCCACCCGGCGCATATGTGCGAATCGGTGACTTGGGCGGGCGCGGTATCATGGCGACGCCGACACCGGTAGACACGGTTATGATAGTAACGATGATGGTGGCGATGGTGGAGACGACAACGGCAAGGCCAATGACAGCGCCGATGTTGATCACGCTCGCCGATAACGATGACGATGTCCTCGCGTCGGCGATGGAGGCTTTGAAAGAGTTCGACATGCGCGCGGGGCCGACGCGCGCGAGTGGCCCGCGCTGCATTTTTGGCACGGATCATGCCCCCCCCGCGCAAGGGCGTTCGAATGAGTTCGACATGCGGCGCGAGAGGCCCTGTTGGCAGAATTTGATGAAAATGTCGAACAACCAATGGTTCTTTCTTACTCATCTGCCAAACGGCGAGCACAAGCTTTTCCTGACAACTGATGTAGCAAGACCATGTGTGTTCGATATGTTTTCGGGACACACGTTTTTGGAATCCCTGCGAAACCTGGAGTTTTTGAAGGATTTTGGCATGCGCGCGACGACGCCCGCGTGCGCACGTCGTCCCATTTGCGACAGCACGCGCGCAAGGGCGCTCGAGCAATTTCGACATGCGCGCGCGAGAGGTCCTTTGGGTAGCAGGTTATGAACATGTTGAACGACCGATGGTGTTCTTACGACTTCGCAAGGAGCGCTGGCGCAGGCTTTTTGTGAACACCCTTGATACGAAGCCATGTGTTTGCATACTTGTTGTGGCTCTCGATTTTGAACTGCCTTACGAAACCATATGTTGTTTTTGGAGATTTCGGCATGCGCGTGCGACCACTCGCGCCTCTGCACTACGTCTTATTTTTGGTAAGGGGTTCCTGGAAACTGATGATCTTTAATGAAAGAGTGCGCGCGCATTGTACCTTTTGCAGAGGTTTGAGAGGAGAGGAGGCAACTCCCGCCTGGCTGGGATGGTATGACTTCGTTAGGCAACTGAGCAACGAGGCGCAATCATAATGCGGGAGGCGGGCCTGCGAAGTCCGGGGGGATAACGGGGGTAGAATTCAATCTCTTTTTAAGAAAGGGGGATCTACGGGTTGCCAACTATGCGGTGAAGCTATGTGGTTGAAGCTGTGGTGCGCTCTCCACGGTGCAAGCTGCAGTAGGGGCTCGACCACGAGCAACATTCCACAAGAAATCCAACCCTGAGATCCGATGACACCCTTTGATCCTTGGTGGGGGCAACGTCGCGCTCTCCATGGCAAAACCCTCGCAAGCCAAGAGACACAGGGCACCCTGGAGGCAAGCAGGGTGCTTCCTGGCATGGGTCTCCACTATATGTGAAGCTGTCGGGGCGCCCGCCGCAAGAGGTGATCAAAGGTGCAGAGCCCGAACGCAATTGCGAGCAGCTCCAGGGACATGATCATCCCGTCCGCCCGCTGCTTGAAGCAACTCATCAAGCTGTGGGGCGGCTCCCAGTCGGGAAAGTAGATCTGTTCATTGTGCATGAGCACCGCCGCCACTCTCGGCGGAGTGCTCCTCGCATCTACAAACAATTGGACCGGAGGGCCGCTGGGGCAGATC